AGTTCTCCTACAGTCCAGTTTTCCTACAGTCTAGTTCTCCTACAGTCCAGTTTTCCTACAGTCTAGTTCTCCTACAGTCCAGTTCTCCTACAGTCTGGTACTTCTACAGTCCAGTTCTCCTACAGACTGGTTCTCCTACAGTCTGGTTTTCCTACAGTCCAGTTCTCCCACAGACTGGTTCTCCTACAGTCTAGTTCTCCTACAGTCCAGTTCTCCTACAGTCTGGTTCTCCTACAGTCCAGTTCTCCTACAGACTGGTTCTCCTACAGTCTGGTTCTCCTACAGTCCAGTTCTCCCACAGACTGGTTCTCCTACAGTCTGGTTCTCCTACAGTCCAGTTCTCCTACAGTCTGGTTCTCCTACAGTCCAGTTCTCCTACAGTTTGGTTCTCCTACAGTCCAGTTCTCCTACAGTCTGGTTCTCCTACAGTCCAGTTCTCCTACAGTTTGGTTCTCCTACAGCCCAGTTCTCCCACAATCCGGTTTTCATACAGTCTGGTTCTGCAACAGTCTGGTTCTCCAACAGTCGGGTTCTTGTACAGTCTGGTTCTCCTACAGTCCGGTTCTCATACAGTCCGGTTCTCCTGCAGTCTGGTTCTCCTACAGTCTGGTTCTCCTACAGTCTGGTTCTCCTACAGTCTGGTTCAGTCTGTGTGGTGGTAGCTGAGGGTCATCCTAACACAGACTCTGAACTCTGATCACATAAAGTTTTCTGTCCGTCTGAACGAGGAGGTGTTTGATGTTCAGTTTGTCAACATCTGTTCCTCAATCTGAAAACTGTTTAAATCATGAAGCCGGCTGGGGCCTCTTTCCTCTATAAAAAGCTCAGATTAAAAAAAAAAACCAAACAAAATAAATCTCCTCACAGGTTCAGAATCAGCTTTAATCTGCTTCAGATTGAATAAAATCTTTATGTTTTTAAAAGCTGCTGTTTTTATGACGAATTGTCAAAAATCTGAATCTGTTCAACAAGTAAACGAAGCAGAAATGTTCCAGGGTTCTGTTCTGTTCTGTGGATCAGAACCTCATGTCCAGATCCAAAGGGAACCGATCAGTGAGAAACCCAAGCAGCCATGCAGGACTGGACCAGAACCACAGAGGTGGTCCAGAGTGAAGGGACTGCAGAGAACATAAATAATCCTGAGAACCGAGCAGAACACGCTGTCACCCTCGGATCACATCAGAACCGTCTCCCGTCAGCAGGCTCCCAGGGAAATCTGGAAATCAGGTGACGATCCGGTAACATTCACCGCGAAAACATCTGGATTTATTACAGATGCTGCCGCCGCGCGCACGCATGTAGAAAAGGGCGGGTTTGGCGCACGGGGAGCCGCCTGTGAGAACCCCTTCTCCTTCACACACACACGCACGCACACGCGCGCGCACACACACAGAGACATAAAAATATCTCAATTAACCAACATCTTCAGCTTGGTTTCTCCCGCAGCCTTTGTGCGCCGCGCGCTTCAGGTGCGCGCTACCCGCAGTGATGCTGAGCCAATGCAGCGGCAACACACGCCCCTCCGCGCGCGCACACACACACACACACACACACACACGCATAGGTCTGAAGCGCCACATACATGAGCAGTCAGCTCATCCTGCGCTGTGAAAATCCTCCATGTTCAACCCTGCAGCCGTGCCACACGTTTCAATGAGGGGGGCGTGCGTGTGTGCGTGTGCACGCGCGTGCAGCTGGGGGAAAAGAACCTTGTGAGGCGGTGCGCCCTTCGGTGCACGCAGGAACACATGTGATGTGATGAGAATGACTAAAAGCCGCTCGCGCGCCGCGCTACTTACGCACAGCCTCCTTTTTGGGGTCCAGGGCCCCGGCGGTCTGCTGGATCTGGCCTATCCGGTTCTGGAGGACCCAGACGCGCTGGTTCGTGTTCAGGATGTCGGTCTCCAGCTCCTGGAACAGGGAGCAGGCGTGCCGCGCGAGCTCGGACAGCTGCCGCAGGGTCCGGGACAGAACCACGTTACTGATGGCGCACAGGTCCTCGAACAGCAGACCCTCATCGTCCGGGATCTGGTGTCGGCACAGCAGCTGCGGCTCCACGACCCGCTTGGAAAAAGGCATTCTGGAAGGAAGGAGACGGAACCAGAGGAGAGGAGAACATCCGAACCGGGTAAATCCACAAGGAGCCCGACCAGGTTCGGGCCGACGGCTCGTGATCCCCCCGCGGGCGTCAGTCCAAAGTTCCCCTCAGGTTCTCCTTCAGACCCTCCATCCCGCTGCTGCTCTTCTGGGGACCACTCACACTCCCAGCTCGCGCGCGCGCACACACACACGCACACACATGCAGGACGCGGCGGAGCCCGGGTCAGTGGCGTGAGGATGCGTGCGGAGTCTGGGGCTGCCTCCGTGTGGCGTCAACGCGCGCGGATCTACCCGGAAGTGACGCGCACGCGCTTCAGAGCTCATCACAAACAATAAAAACAAACAGTAACAGCTGTGTGAATCAGCTGACAGAGATGTGAACATAAAACAAATTTAATTTTTAGTTTTAAGTTTCAGAATTTTTCACCCGCAGCTTTTATTTTACAGCCTTTCTACAAAGAGCCAGCTTTTATTTTGAAATCCCGCTCCTGCTTTTCCGGTTCTGCTCTGGGTTTGTCTCCGGGTTTTGATACAAAACGGATCTGTGGCCTGAAGGATGTTCAGCCTGTGAGCAGCTGAGGGAAAACCTGGAGAGGAGTTCATCCTTCATCAAAAAATTATCAGGATTTATTATAAAATAATTTAATGTTTATTTTGTTTCACAAAGTCTGTCAAATCAGAAACCTGCAAATATCAGTTTGAAACATCAGGAGAGAAACAGAGCATAAGCTAAAAGCTAAAATGATAAAAGCTAAAAAAGCCTGGAACCCTCAGAAACAAAACATGCTGAAGATAAACTTTTATTTTTTTCAGTCAAATATCAGAATATTCCCTGAAAATAATCTGAGTTTGAATAAACAAGTTAAACAAGCAGAGATTTAAAAATGTCAAGAGCTGAAGCTCAGCTGAAGTTAAGCTAAATGCTGAAAGGTCCAGGGCACTAGAAAAAAGCTAAAAGAAGCTAAACTCTGTAGCAAGATGTTTGCTGAAAGATAAAATACAAACTAAAAGAAGCAAATGCTGAAGATTATAAGTAACAAATGGCTAAAGACTGGAACAGGATCTGAAGTGACTAAATGTACATAAAAGCTAAAGTAGCAAAATGTTAAAGTTGCAAAAGATTGAGATTATAAGGAGCAAAAGACTAGCTAAACACATAAAAGATTAGCTAACGGTAGCAAAAGGTTAGCTACAAATGGAAGTAGTTGTACAGTAGCTAAAGTGTCAAATTAATAGCTAAAGGCTAAATATTGCAAAAACTAATAAATTATAAGTAGCGAATGGTAGCTAAAATTAGCAAAAMGCAAGCTAGAAGCTAAAAGTAGCATCAAAAGACAAACGAAGCAGCTGAAGGAGATTTCAAAGCAAAGATTTTGAAAGAAATAAGATCTTGATGTGAAATCTTTTTGTAAATAAATTTTCATATTTTCTAAATATAAAAGGTTCAGAAACCAGAAGTTGCAGCTGCTGTCAGCTGAATGAGCCAAAGGTTTTATTATCTATCAGTGAGATGTTGGATCAGCTGCCTGGCCGACAAGAACAAACCTGACAGATGGAGGTTCTGACAGAAGTTCTGACAGAAGTTCTGACAAAAGCTCTGACAGAAGTTCTGACAGAAGTTCTGACAGAAGTCCTGACAGAAGTCCTGACAGAAGTTCTGACAAAAGCTCTGACAG